GAACCGTTTTACCCTTCTTACATGTTTACAGGCAAGAGGTTACATAGAAGCTCGATAGATTAACAAGTGATTAACAATTCGGGGGTTTTGCAAGGGCCAGTCATAGGATGGATGACCATTACGAAGAATTTACTACCTAGAACTTATCCTTGCTTCACTAGACATGTTAAGTGCATTTATTGACACTCACCAATCCGAACTTGTCCCACATAGTTAGTCATGGCCTATTCTCTCTATTAGTTTCTATGGAGAAGGCCTATGCTCCAGCAGCGGAGCCATTGATAATGAGTCTCTCAAAGACTGACGTTACATCAGTCAACAATTACGAATAACACGAGACAATTATTAATATTAATATCCGTAGGTACCCAAATAGTAACGAAGATCAGCGTCAAGTGCTATCATCACATCACCAAACTTATAGTGACATCACTGAAGTGAAACATACTTACCTTCTAATGTAACGGTATATACTAAAACGATGCAAACACAAATGAAAAAGAAGGTAACTTCTTAGTTTCATCATCCCCTTTTACGTCCCCACTGCAGGGGCTCAGGCCTTCCTTATGGATGGTTAAGGAGGATGGGCCATGACCCTCCACGCTGGCCCAATACGGATTGGAGGGTATTAAGGACTGCAAATGCAGCCGGGACCAACGGCTTAACGTGCCTTCCGAAGCACGGAGTAGCTCGAGATAATAATTTTTTGGTCACCCAACCCGTGACCGACCCTTGAGAAAGTTGCTTAACGACAACGATCGCGGGCCGAGGCGCTTATCCACTACGCCACCGAGCTACTCGACTTCTTAGTTTCCGCTATACTAATTGAGCTTTTTATATATTCAAAAGTATTGAACACAATTTCAAAAAAATCGATAGTTCGATCATCTCCAACGTTGGCCTTCCTTACAGTACGGGAGTCACGTGCATTACGGCACTATTTTGTACAGCAGCAATGGCCTTCCTACACTTAGCCTTACTAGGGTAAGAAAAACTAAACGAAATTAAACAATTTATTTTTATTGCAACATTCAAAAGCCAACCGTTTTTGTTATCGTGTTAAAAGTCTAATTTTTTGCCTCGTGTTGCTGAAATAATGTTTCTATCAATTTGCGATGATAGTGTAAAGTAATAATCAGAAATTCTACAGATAGTGGCAAAGAAATAATCAGCTTTAGCTATTAACTTCATTGTTTTTAAAATGCCTATTTTTATTATGCAAAAATGACACTACCTTTGAGGAAAATTCATAAACAACTATGTTTTATTCATAGTTTTTAACTTTAACTGATGAAATTGATTATTTTTAGCACTACCCAGACGTCATCAGACCTCTGTTATAACAAGGTACGACATCTTAAGATTGTACCACCAGTACAACTGTCCTGGAGCCTGGAGCGCTAATGCTATAGAGAAGGAACTACCGTTAACGTACCAACTGAAGCAGAAAACTTGGACGAAGGAACATTTGATCGTTTGCTGATGACCTGGAATTTTTGGAAGACATTGAAAAACATAAGCAGTCTTCTATACGAGTGATTGCCTTATTAATACATATAGCAAATGAATGAATTCATATGTTAAAACGTATTAAATCTTGAAATTCAATTTTCTTTTTTTTTCTCGTTCTGTCATATGTGTACAGTTTTGAGAAACCTTATAGAAAGTAATTAATCAAAACTATTATATATTACAAACAACCTTTCAATTATATTTTTCGGTGAATCAATTTTTATATACGAGTGATTTCGAGTTCCTATCCCTAGTTAGGAAATAAATAAATAGTGATAGATATATGACTTTAGCCATTAATTTATATTACTAATCACATTAATAACCTCTTTCTAGGACAATTGATTGATTGATTGAATATTCTTTATTGCACTATGAAATACAGTAAGAAAGGTACATAAAACTGTTCGTATTCATAGTTTTTTTGTAATCATTATTATTTTTATTAATATATGTATATTATATGTATTATATAATATTGTTTACTTATGTATTCTTATATTTTTATTGATTTTTTTTTTATATCATGCCTATATGTATTAATGTTAATATTCATTCACATAAACTTTAACAATTATGCACTTGTCAGTCTCCCGTTACTGCTTGATCTCCCACACCGCCTGGTTGGCTGGAAGAGATCTCTTATAGAGATAAGCCCACCCTTGCTTGTGATTTACATACTATTATAATGTTAACTTTGTTTTATGTGCAATAAAGAGTATATATATTACCGGATTGGTGGGGGCTGTGTATTATTCTGTGGCAGCGTCTTCTAATACAAACGCTTGTCAACTAAAATTTATGAAAAACTAAACTCAAAACAATTAACCATAAAGATGAACGCATATTAGCCCGCAAGCCCCCGCCGCACGATACGCAACCGATTATATTAAAAATTCTTATGACGTCATTAGCATGATTCCGACGTCAAAACTGGGAGTCGCTATGCGACTGCAGTGGACGTTTGACATCGACAAATACATGTAATGTATCGCCAAAGTTGTTAAAGTTGTAAAAGAAGAACAAATCCATGTAATTCTTTTACAACTTTATAGATTGATCTAGACTAGAAGTTAGAGTATTAAATTTTTTGATATTGCCTTGGCAAAAATCGCATAAAAACGCGTATCTATACATAATTAGAACAAAAATGTCATAAATTTGAAAATTGTTTTTTCGAAATATACTTTTAGATACTGAAACTATAAATCTAATATTTTTCGAAATTTAATGCCCATTCATTTACCAAGGACCACAGGGTTGAAGGCAACGATTTTACAATACAGTATTCGATAAGTAAGGTTAAGAACCGGAACCCCGAGAACCGTATTGCATGCATTGCTTGTTGATTCGAGTGTTAATTCGTTAATTCTGAACATAGAGATTCTATCTAATACTCTTGAATCAAATACTTTAATAAATCTATGATAATAAACATAGATCAATAATAAGTAGTCACAAACACAAAAGTAAGAAAAAACTTATTTACCTTAGAGTTCCTGCTCTTATTTCAGCCTCGCTTTGCTGCTCTATAACACAATATAAGGACGGGCTTTTTGAAGAAGTCTATCTACATCTTCAAGGGTACGCAGAAAGGACAAACTCCTACAAAGCACGGGTCCTTACATACATATTTCGCCTTCTCTACGTCCATTACTCTTTTCGTATATACTCATATGGCTTCTATGATCACCTAACAGCACGCAATTGATTGAATCGTAAAAGGTATATAATGGCCTTCAACGGCTTCAACGTCCTTCCACTTTCGCTTTGTACATCAGTTTTGTCATTCTTTCATAGTTATGCGTGCTAACTATAAGTCGGAACCACGGTTCGTCACGGATCAACTTTCTTTCTCATCTCTTTATTACGAATACGGTCTGCAAACGTTACCCTGCAAATCGTACATAAAGAATGAATTTCGACTGCATTTGTTCGACTCATATGCTCTTTCAGAGATACACAACTCTCGCTACCATACATTAACGTTGGGATCAGCACCGCATTGAGTATAGTAAGCTGCGATTTCCCATACTGGGTTTTCCCGACGCTCTATTTAAGTAAGTATAATATTTTATCATATTAATTGTAAACAAAGTACAAAGAGTACGAAATGATAAGAATCAAATCAGTTTTACGTAGATAATAACATGAGCGGTAGCTAAGTAAGTACATCACTATATAAATTTCTGTTTTATTATCGTCGAGTATTATCATTAATCTATTTATTCAAATGATTGATAACTATCTTATTATGAGGACATGTTGAAAAAAGGGCAAACTTTCAAGTAATTTTGTACATAGAAATACATAGAAACTGAGAAAATAACATCATAATTTTTAAGGGTTTTGTTATAGAACAAATATATAAAATTTTCACGAAACAAAAAATTCGTTGTACTCCTGAAATTCCCCATTTACTTGTTCCTTGTTGGCATTTTTATCTGGCATGACAAACTCGAGAAACTCTTTGTCACTTTCTCGGAGAGAGTGAAATAACTCTCTTAGAAAAGTGACAATTAATGTAGATAAAGCGCTTCTCGAGTTTGTCATATCACGCGTGCAGGCAATTGTTACGAGGCATAAACACGACTGGCTGTAAGAGCAACAGCTTCTCTCAAACCTACTCCCGCTACTTTAAGAGATAAGAGTTTGTAAAATGGTAATTTCTTACTTTATGACTTTATTTTTAGTTTTTCATTAAATTCTAATTATTAACATTGCAATTTTAAAGAGTATTGCATAGCAAGCTTTTAACTTTTTTGATTAAAAACGAATTTTAACACGCGTCATAATGACACTGATATCAACTTCGATGCAAATGTAAAATAAATTAGCTGTCTACCTCTTTTAAAAGCCCAATGAACTTCAATAAAATTAAAAAAAAACATTATTTGAATCACATTGTTTAAACGTCTTCCATCAATTCTGCTTAAAATGCAAAATTTGAATCATTTTGTCCTATACAAATGTTGACTTGTTTTTCACCCCCATATACCTTTCCTTAACTTACTTTTAGATCATACAAAAACACATCCTCCAAGTTTCAGGTATCTACAATCAGTGATATAAGCTTTGCGTTAATCTGTCCGCCAGTAATTTAGGACAAAGCATTTATATTTTGCTTTACAACTGTATCGCAGACCGAGCCCGCTAGGCACTGCGCCATGGAGCTCCAACTTTCGCAAGCGCGCGCGAAGGATGATTGAAAATGTTACTATATTGAACTCCTTCGTGCTTCGGAAGGCACGTTGAAGCGTTGATCCCGGCTGTATCTGCAGTCGTTAATACTCACCAACCCACACTAAGCTCGCGTGGTACGTCATGGCTCATTTTACCTATTCGATTCTATACATAGAGAAGGCCTGAGCCTTAGTCGTGGGGACATTAATATGCTGGCGGTGATGATTTATATGTATAGATAAAATACGCTAATTAATATTATTTGATTACTGTACTGATTTACTGTTTGTATTGTACTAATCAGTAACTTAAATTATTTTGATTTCTAATCGTAATTTATATCTGATTAATTAATAATGCACCATATCTCGTCTATAAATACGACAGAACAATAATTTTATTGTTGCATTCCAAAATGTTTCGATTCGTGGTACTGTCCTGTTTGCTAGCGGTCGCTGCTGCCGTCCCGCCAGTGGCGAAGAGCAGAGCTGACATTGAGAATTACAAAGTCGCTTTGGAAAAGTCGAGAGAAGGTAATTGTCACAAATACATCCTACCTCAATAAACACTCATCAAAATTGAAACTACTACTTTGCTGATTTGACAATCAAGATTTCTGGTGGATAAAAACGTCTTGAATAAATATTGGTTTGCATGTACTAAAGTGTAATTGGTTCTATATTTGTTTATTATTTTTAAATATAAATCGATTCGGCTTTGAAAACAAAATAAATGTTTCGAAATGTTAGTCAGCTCATGTATTTTTTTGTTAGTCTAAAAACGCTGGAAAGCAAACACGTAATAACCTGCAAAAACCAAAATATTAAAAAAATCTTATTTCCATATAAATTTACCAAAGAACACCTTCTTTGTTACCATGCACTTTATAGGAATTATTTATCGAAAAAAAAATAAAAAATTTTCTGCTCTGACAAAACACTTTTGGTTTTGCGGGTTACTACGTGTTTACTTTCCAGCGTCGATATACTAAAACGAACATTCATGCAATTTTTCGTTGCTTATTTAAATAATTTCGTTTCTTTTAATGTTCTTAATGTAATCAATTTTCATCGTTCCAAGAGATTGTTTCTATATTATTTAACAGAATACTTTCTTAAATTTATCAACATAGGTATATTAAGCTACGCGAAAGAGTACATTTTATTAAAATAATTTTAATCATTAATACGTATATGTTAACGTCATTTATTCCTTAATACGTTTCTGTAAACGTCGATTTTCTATTCGAAATTTCACCTCTGCAGGTATTAAATGGCAATGTTATTACTAAAAGCCATCAAAGTAGTGTTTATAATACGAAGTCACAATTATTATAGTTAATCCATAATTACCCGGCATAGCCATAAAGCACAGATGAAAGAAAAATATATAAATAAATTAGTGATAAATAAATAATACCTAATTTAATATATTACAGACGATGGGTTGACCCTCGAGGAGCGTATGGCAGAAAATCCTGGAATGAACGCGTGGAGTAGCAGCGGGAAGTACCAAGGAGATATATATTTGGATGACGACTTGATCGAGGAAATGGTAGACGACTTCTCACTTGGTCGTATGGCGTACACCAGGGCCAATACTCGATGGCCTTCAGCAGTTGCCGTTTACGAGTTCGGACCTGGAGAATTTAGTAAGATATACAACATTTTTAATGTAATAGCGTTTATTATGTTGTAGTAAGTTGTATATTAAAACTAGAAAATTGCAATCACAACATTTCTGAAGTATAACAAAACATTTTTTATATAGACCTTGATCAGCAAAGGTTTATCCTGAACGTGATGAACGGACTTTCCGAAAGGACCTGCGTCAGATTTAGAGTAAGAAACGCCAACGACAGAAACTTCGTCAGGATCACGGTAATTTTTTAATATTACATGAAATAAAATATTACTTGCAATATTTTATACGATGACCTTAAGGCATAAAAAGCTAAAAGTAGTAACATTTGTTTTATAAGATTTCAAATTAAAGATATATTTCATCAAACATCAGTTTCTTCAGATCAAATTTTACTATTGACTTCTCAATGTGACTATCAGGCTATTACTTAAAATAAAAAGTTAATATTAGCAAAATCTTATTTTTACAGGGTAGACCAACAGGCTGTTATGCCAGCGTCGGCTATAATGCAAACCGTGGAATACACACATTGAATGTGGCGCGAAACACCCCCGGATTTGGTTGTCTTAACTTCGTGGTCATCTCCCACGAGTGGTACCACGCTTTAGGCTTTTGGCACATGCAGTCCACTTACAATAGAGACAACTACGTCCGCATCCACTGGGAGAACATCCAACAAGGTTCGTGAATAATGTTTTATAAGCTTTATTTTGTGTTTTTATTCTATCTTCATTATTTATTTGGATATCCATAAAATTCTTCTTTCTTTGGGCAACTGTAAAACCTTCGATCAACAATCGAAATATAAAACCCTGAAAGTTCATGAAACCAGGTACACTAAACTATACGAAACTAATTTAATAAAATAATAATGTAATAACAGTATCTCTGAGACACTAGCTTCGTCAACGTTGAAGCTTTACTATGCGCAGATGGCGTCTCGACACTAGTTTCGCCATACGCCGAGGTGAAATTAGTTGTGTGAAAGTAGTTTAATGAAAAATATGCGCTCGCACGAAACTATCTTAGTATCTTATAACTAATGTTTGCATTGTGAAAGTGAACGTTTACATGTGCATTTGCAATAAAATTAGTTTCATGCAACTGGTTATGTAATGTAAATTCTACTTAAGATAAAGCGTAGCTACAAAACTGAGATTTGATAGTACCTAAATACTTAAACGATGCTTGGCATAAAGCGACAACTGAGTTATATTGTATAATAATTTGACTATTTTGGATCAATTCAAAGGTATGGCGCACAACTTCGACAAAGTCGACAGCAGGTTCGTCTCCAACCTTGGTCTACCTTACGAGTACGGTAGCAGCATGCATTACGGCACTCATTTCTTTAGCAGCAACGGTCGTCCCACTCTCAGCACTACTAGGGTAAGAAAAACCAATTGAATCGATGTTTATCGGAAGACTTATATTGAAATTACCATACCATTTACCGACTTCCTTTTAGGATCTTGACATCTGCCGTTACAAAATCAAACAGTTTTCGAAGTATAGTTAAATAGGTCAAGGTTTCTGATATTGTTATTATAATTAATGATTGTATTTGAATCAGAATTTATTGACAATAATAAAAACAGTCGTTCTGTGATTTTGTCGTCATAGACGAGAACTACGGATGGTGGCAAAGAAATTATTACTTATTGGGATATTAATAACTGTAAAGTTATGGAAACAAAGCCTATGAAATAAAATAAATCCTTAATTACCTAAAGGTAATAGGTTCCAATTGATTGAGCTTCTATTGACAGACAGTGCTGCTCTCAACGACAAGTATAACGCTGCTTTTATAACAGCATATCACTGCAGTACTTTTATTGAATTTAAGTTACATACATCGATATTCATCAAAGTTCTTTTAAATTGAATTATTCAAGGTGTCGCTATATCTGAGGTCCCGGGCTTGAGTTCCAGTCGGGTCAATATCGAAAAGGGACTTTTCTATATCGCCACGGGTCAGGGGTTACCTTTCTTGTTTCAGATGATCCATAATAAAATCTGAGCAATGTATCTGATGTTGTGTAATATTTTTATCTCTAATTTCAGCCCTACAATGGAGTTTTAGGACAGACCTCTGTCATTACCGGCTTTGACCTCTGGAGATTGGCTCGTCACTACAATTGCCCTGGAGCCTGGAGCGCTGAAGTCATGGAAAAAGCCAGAACCACCGTGTACGTGCCAACAGAAGAAGGAAATTTGACCGAAGAAACAGTTGACACGCCTCTTGCTGATGAATTGGAACTTTTGGAAGATGTTGAAATAGCAAAAGAATAAAATGAATAGAACATGAAAAGAAATTTTAACATCGCGCATTCCATTCCTTATGAATCTATGTATTTGTGAAGAATTAAAAATATTAAGACACGCAAAATAAATATTTCTTTATCATTTTCGCTTAAAAGTTAATTCTGTAGTTGTATAAAGTATTTAGTGTTATTAAATATTTTTCCCTATCACTCATTCAAGACATCTTTGGCTGATAAGAAGAACTAGCAGGAAACTCATCAGTTCTAATATCAATCAATACATTATAAATAGAGAGAAAAACTAGTGTCGTATAATGATAACATAATAATTTAATAATAATGGCAACAAGATAATTTTTGAGATATAATGAGTTTAGAAAAGAATCACCTATCCAGTTGCTGGACCATCTTTATCCCAAGCATTCTTATCTGTTATATAATCGGATACCTTGTAATAAGCTTTTTTAATAAGTGCTTTTTTATAATAGATTTAAACTGCATGATATCTAATTGTTGAATTTTGCTTGGGACCTTATTGTAGAAGCGCTCACAAAGACCAATGATTGAGTTATTATTTTTTTGCAGTCTAGTATTATTCCTTTCTAGTGTTCTCTGTTTACATGCCGACAGATGAACCAATGCACTTAGAGGAATTTACACACTGTTTAGGTTAGTTGAACGCTATTATTAACAGTTCATCATCATCATCACCAGCTCTTTTACGTCCTCACTGCAGGGGCACAGGCCTTCCTTATGGATGGTTGAGGAGGATGGACCATGATCCGCATGGCCCAATGCGGATTGGAGGGTATTAACGTCTGCAAATGCAGCCGGTACCAACGGCTTAACGTGCCTTCCGAAGCACGGAGTAGCTCCAGATAATAATTTTTTGGTCACCCATCCCGTGACCGACCCTTGCGAAAGTTGCTTAACGACTAAGATCGCGGGCCGCGGCGATTATCCAATACGCCACCGATCTACTCCTCCTCCTACTTCTATTAACAGTTGTGAAGTTGATAATGCTTACATTCTTGGTGACTTTATTGCTCAAGTCACGTCAAGTCAAAATAACCTTTACTCAAATAGACTTCTTAAAAGTACTTTTGAATCGTCCAACTTTTATTTCCCTATCACTCGTTCAGGATGTCTTTTGACTGATAAGAAGAACGAGCAAGAAACCCACCAGCTCTAATATGAAGATTTTGCATCCATATGGTGTTAGTAACAATCAGACTTAATTCTACCGTTAGTAAAAATAATAATTCAATTTCATTAATTAATATTTCATTTAACAATTCAATTTTATTTATTTCAATTCCACATTTAAATTAAATTCAACAATCAAAAAATTTACGTATCGGCTGGGAGGTCGTCGTCGCCGTTTGGAGATACATCGCACGCATCAGCAGCGGCCAGTCCCATCGATCAGAGAGCGCGCGCAAGATACTGTTTCGGCTGGCGCGCACGCGCTTTAGCAGTGACCCGCTTCGCTTACGCATTATTGCATAAAAGCAATCAGTTCGCGCCTCGGCAAACATAGTGGACGCACTGCAGTATCGCGCCAGCCCAAACAATATCCTGAACCCGTTATTATATTGTATACGCAATGCATCTAAAGCACGCTGCGTGAAGCTAACCCACAGACTGCAAGTGTAGAACGTTTGACAATAAGCTTTGAAAAGAGTTAACTTTACCTGTTTACTAGACCTTGCAAATCTGCGTGCCAACATATTACAACGCACACTCAACGCCCTGCGCTCTCTCTCAATATCTGTGTTATCAGACAGATTTTCAGATAACCAGTGACCCAAATATTTAAATTGATCAACTCGTTTTAACGGGGTACCACAAAGAGAAACAACAGGCACGTTTTGGTAAATTTTTGTTTGTGCTTTAAAAATCATCTTTGTGGGATTATACCTGAGGCCATGGCCCTCCGCATAGGTTTCACACATATGTAACAATCCGCGCATGGCACCAATCGATGGGCTCAGCAACACCATATCATCGGCATAACTCAGATTATTTACACAAACACCATCAATGTGACAGCCGATGCCAGCCCTACTGAGCCCCTCGATCAGCCCGTTGATGTACAAGTTAAAGAGCTTTGGAGAGGTCAAACCTCCCTGCCTCACCCCACACTCCAAGCCGTACACGTCCGAATGCACTCCCGCCCATCGTACACTGTTGCTTTGATTCCTAATCCAATACATAATTATTGAACACAATTCAGGTGGTAAAGTTGTTTCTCTTTGCAGTTTTCTCGACAGAATATTATACGAGACCAGATCGAAAGCCCTCGACAGGTCCAAAAAACAGGCATAGACTGGCGTTTTCCTAACCGTGTAGTATTGGACAGTTTCCTTGAGACAAAATATCGCACTCTCAGTTGAAAGACCCGGCTTGAAACCGAATTGCGCATCATGTATATGAAGATGTTTGCTTAGGTGCTTATTAAGTAAGCTGTCCAACACCTTAGCTATTAGAGTTGCTAAAGATATCGGTCTGTAATTTGACAATTCCGACGCGTCACCAGTTCTATTTTTGATAACTGGCACTACAACTGTGTACATGAGACAATCAGGAAGGAAACTATGACTTATACATAAGTTAAAAAACATGGCAAGTACTCGTGGTCAATGTACACCGGCGTATTTGAGATGCTCAATACTAAGGTTGTCATGCCCCGGAGACTTACCTCCAAACCATTGTTTTAATAACAGAAGCAACCTCGGCAGCTGAGAACGTAACAGAAATATCTACGGAACTTTGATTAGCAGTGAGCACCTCTTGTTCTTGTATTAGCGGCGACTCAACTTTAAAATGATTCCTAAAAGCGCAAGCAATCTTATACGGGTCATACAAATCGGCTACGCTTACAGGCAGACTCGGCTTCGGCATCAGTTTATTTGTGTTTTTCCAGAATTTCGCAAAATTTTTATCTGAATGATTGTTTGTTATCATATCCATTCTAATTTGTAATTGATTATCTTGACAATATTTTAACCTAGATTTAAACATTTTTCTCGTCTCCTTTATTTTATCAAAAACAAATCCAAAATGTGGTTTACAACCAATACTGATACCAGAGGCGCGCCTCCCGATGTGCACTACTAACATACTTATTCCACCCTGTGATCCGTTTATTTTTTCTACGTATATTTTCTACGTGACTGTACTCAGCAGCCTCTTTGACTATAGATATGATATTATTATACATCACAGTTAGTATACGTCTATGTTCACAATCATTACATAGCTTATCCGCGCACTCACTAAAATCGGTTGGAAAATCCAACTGTCGCAACTTTGAATGACACATATCAGAATAATATTTTATCTGTTCATCATCCCTCTCACCCCATGTTATTTTATTATTAGAATAAGTAGAAGTCCTAATTCTCGGTTTTATCATATTAACATTACATTCAATCAATAAGGGATGGTGATCAGACCAGTAAATATCATGCAATATCGATGCATTGACAATTATATGACGCGCGGCATCCGTTACCACACAATGATCGAGCCAGCGTTGACATCCATGAACATCACTAACAAAAGTGTATGAGGTTGCCGGTAACAGTTCAACATCAATACAAGACCAAGCCTGGTCAGCACAAAAATTTAAAAGTTCTGTACAAAAAAGCTCACCAGGGTGCGCGTTGAAGTCGCCGATCACAAACACCGTTTCTGTGTTACTGTTTTCAATTATAGCATTTATTTCACTCAAACAATTTGTGAACTCAATAAGATTATCAGCTGACGCTGTTGGCATATACACTGACACTAATAACATGGAAGTGTTAGTAAGCTCGATCTTAATAGCCGCTAAACGCACGTTACTACACTCTATCACTCTCACCATCGGAAACGTAGATTTACGCCAGAGTATTGCTACCCGGCCATATGGCCTCCCCCGAAGTATGCCACTGAAGGTATCCACCGACGAGTTTCCAGTAAAGGCGAAATTGTCATCTATGCTCCCGAGAAATGACAAATCATGTGGTAGCAACCATGTCTCCTGTAGCGCAATGATATCAGCAGAGCGACAAAGTCTTCCTATACACTCCACCGACCTCACGACATTTTTACAATTAAATGAACTTATATTTGCTGTGTAATCCATTCAATTAAGTATTCTGGTTCCTATTCTGTGGTCGCCCACTACTCATTTTCTTTTTTCTGAATTCATAGAACCTACGAAAGGCAATACCGTTTGGCCAAAAATCTTCTTTCATAAATAACTCAAATTTACTCTTAGGGACATACACTTTATAGGCGTTATAATTTTTTTCAGTGCTTGTGTGTATTTTTTCGAGTGTAACGGTCACGCATGCCTTCCCTTTAATATACGACACAATATCACTCTCTGAAGTCTCCTTCGATACATTGTAGATAAACATCGGGATATTATAGTCAGCGCATTTAAAATTCAAGGTTAAATCAGCAACCGCTTTTCCTCGATTGCCTATAAAACGATTGTTAGGCTTTTTCCTTTTTTCTACGAGAGTCCATTTCTGTTCTTTTTGTAACTCATTGTCATTACTGCGTAGACATTCGGAACAGTTTATTATTTCCAATGACAGATTGTATAGGCGAAGCAGAGAGCACCGGCGACAATATATGACTCAAAACCGGGGTATTGTTCAAAAAACAAACATTTGCTCGGTCAACAGCTGATTCGTTATTATGACCTATAATTGTTAATTCGCGTGATTCGGCGCTGAGAGCCAACTTATTTTGTGTACTACCCACATCTGTCTGCTGGTCACTTTCACTTTTTTCAAGGCTTTTATTTTGTACTGAGAATGACGATAAACATTGTGTTGATATATTTTCTTCACGTTGATATTCTCTTACGGGAGATAGTCCCGTTGGTCCACTATCACAGCCAAAACTATTTATAAAACATGAACCTCGTTTAGTATTAACATTACTAGCAAAATTATTGACTAACGATGCCTTTTTCAAGCTTTCGACGTCTGATTTTAAAGCATCAAATTGTTTTTTAGTGGCATATTGCTCTGTTATAAGCTCAATTTCACTACGCATTTTTACTAAGTCCTTGAGAATGCGAGTAACGTCAACATGATCAAACAAAACCGGTGTCAATTTTTGAAGTTCACGAGCAACAAAAACTGGTAATTTTTCAGGATCAGTCACCTTCACAAGGCATATTATATCGTCAATATCTCGTAAGGTCTTTCCATCTCTTCGACGAGTTTTCATACTTTTGACGGCTGACAAGGATTCAAATAGTAACCGTTTTGCAGTCACAATTTCACTGTCAGAGAAGGCACTAACACAAATCCTACTTAAGCTTTCTTCATCCATAACATCAATCTTGTTACAAATGAAAGCAAGTACCTCATTAATTACAATATTACACAACGAATATTTGATCAGATTCGACATTTTTATCAACCATGACTCGGGTGCATTAATACACGACCGATCGCTGCCGCGTGTAATGATATGCACAAAAACCATGCCATTACCACATCAATACATTATAAATAGAGAGAAAAAATATATGGTCTTATAATGATAGCAGTTTGCTATATAAACTTTTAAACTTTCGCGTTGCATTATATTAGATTGTATAAGACGGGTATTAACGCGATCAAATTTCCGATAGTTAGATTTTTACCTACCTATATTTCCCGACGTTTCGACCAGGTTGCATCTCTCTTTCTACCAAAATTTCTTTCACCACTTCTAGGCACTCTCTGATTGGAATATTAGTGAAAAGTGACTCAACGTCAACTCACCATAATTTCACCTGGCTCTAACGTTATCGAGGCTACGAGGCTCTTTATGATCTCCACAAAATAACGAGAGTACTTTACAAATGACGATGTAGTTCCCGAAAACGGCTGTAGTACTGAGGCAACATGTCTGGCCAAGTCGTAAGTAGGAGAAAAAACTTGACTCACGATTGGTCGCAGAGGTATATCGGACTTGTGCACTTTCATCGGCAGGCCATACATCACAGCTATAAAAAACCGCCAGGTACATAAATCGGCGATCGCAGAACACTTACTGGAAAGTGGCACAAACCTCTGGATTGAATTCCATCGGACACGGGTTCTCTCTGCGGATCGTCATTTCTATTCGCGGATTGTGCGTGAGGCGATTGAAATTAATAAACATCCCAGCAATTTCAATCGCGAAGATGGTTTCAAATTATCAACAACGTGGAATCCAGTGATAAAAAATCTTTTCGCGGTTGCCGGACCACCAGAATACGGCTGCGATACAGAATAGGGATTCCGTTAGTGTTGTGTGTGCCGGTACCTGGTGAAAAAACTGGACGGTAGAAGTGGATTCCACTTCAGAAGATGAGACATAGCATCGCAGAAACAGTCAGCCCGTGACCACGGCCGGTGCAACCTGGTCGAAACGTCGGGAAATATAGGTAGGTGAAAAACCTAACTATCGGAAATTTGATCGCGTTAATACCCGTATTATACAATCTATTATAATGATAGCATAATAATTTAATAATAATCGAAATAAGATATTTTTTGATATATAATGAGTTAAGAAGTAATCTCCTATCCAGTTGCTGGATCATCTTAAGTCCAAGCATTCTTATCTGTTGTTATAAGCTTTTTTAATAAGATTTTTTAAATAGTAGTAAACTGCAAGATATCTTATTGTTGTATTTTGCTTGGAACCTAATTGTAGAAGCGCGCACAAAGACCATTGAATGGGTTAATAACTTTTTAAATTCTAGTGACTGGCACCGTTGATTTATTTTTATTTCTTTTATTAAAATTGTGTACATCACTTTGTATAGAAACAAATTAATATTTTAACGAACGTACATTAAGTTCTCGTTTATGTATTCAGAAGCAAGAGTCATTATGTCTATTTCCCAAAATTTCTTCCTTAAAGAATCTTTGATCCTAAGATTATAAATTAATCTAATTGCTATTTTTTGTAGCATAAACATCGTTTTATGTTGGCAGCATTTCCTCACAATAGGATTCCGTACGACATTACTCTATGAAAGCTACTGAAGTATACTAATCTAACACATCAGTTAACCTACGTATCTTCATATATAATATGTGGGCCCTACTGTAGTTTGTTCTCCTTCATTAAAGAGAAGATTATTTACAATAAACCAATTTACTACTTTAGCGATAGAATTGTTCACATTGTAATTTAGAGGTAGCCCTCTTTTAATTTTAAACAGAAGTGAAGTGTCATCCGCAAACAAAAGTATTTCGTGATGATAAGGCAAGTAATTTATGTAATTTAAAAACAAGAAAGGACCAAGTTTTGAGCCCTGCGGAACACCCATCTTAACTTTCGATCCAGGGGATCTTTTGCCATTGATATCAACCCTCTGCACTCTGTCAGTCATAAAACAATAGCGGTGTCAATACTTACAAATAAAACTGGTAATAATAGCGACAAAAATAATTATCTTCCAATATCACTCGCAACTTCAATACTAGCGAAGGTTCTGGTTACATGTCAAATTGCATGATGCACAGTTTGGTTTTAGGCCGGGTTTATCACTGAAGCAGCTGTCCTGCGCCTCAAGCAGACTGTCCAGTATTACACTGCAAGATATACTTCCATTTATGCTTTGGTTTTGGACTTATGAAGGACTTTTGATTTGGTAAAATATGAAATTATATGGAAAAAACTTTATGATAATACCCGCCTGCCTCATCAATATATGTCAATTTTAAAGTACTGGTATTTAAATCAACAAAACCTTGTAATCTGGGCAGGAGAACTCTTCAGTTGGTAAAGATTGGAATGCGAGGTGAGACAAAGTGGAATAAGCTCACCTACCCTTTTTAATCTCTACATAAAAGTACATGAAAGAGCTGAACCTTGAACTCAGCAGCGCTGGAGTCGGCTGTATTATAGACGGTACGTTTGTCAAGATGTTAGTTATGCTGACGATATCGTATTGCTGTGCCCATCGATTAGTGCACTCAAAAAGCTCATTGGTATCTGTGAGCGATTTGCGAGGTCTCACGGCCTTACCTACAATACAACAGAAAGCGAGCTGTTCGTTATTCAATCGATTAATAAGACATATAAAATTACTCTGGTAACACTTAATGGAATTCCATTAAGACAAGTGAAAAGCTTTAAGTACCAGAGATTGATGGAGCAATGTCTTCACAAATCTACTGCGATAGAATTAGAAAATTAAATAGTATGTAAGAAATTTTTATTTTTGTATCGATGGGGCTGTCGTGTTTTAAAGACAAAAGCCCAAAAAAAAAATAAAGATAATAAAAAAAGTACCAGAGCCCAATGGTTTCAGTCGCTCAAGGATGATTTGGATATAGAACGGGAGCGTAGGGCGCTGTGTTAGGGCGAATATGATTTAACGCAGATTAGAACGTTGTACAAAACATGATAAAAATACTCTTTTAAAAGCGTTTTGCTACTCACTATACACGTGTAACCTGTTGATCGATTATACCCACATTATACCCAAGGAGCCTATGGAACCTAATTTAGTTTATTTTATTTTAATAAATTTAACAAAGGAATTTATTTTCTATCAATAGATTGTTTTGTATGACATAAATCAAACTATCAAACCGAGCGATATTTAAAAATTTGAAAACAATATCAACTGATTCTTCTTTTTCGATCTGCTTAAAAAACCACAAGTAGAATATAGTGAAAAGTAAATAAAATGTAAAAATCCCAAAACGCACTAATAGTTTACTACTTATTAGGTAGTATGGTAGTACCTATTAGGTAGTATAACAGAAAAAAACTGAACAAAGAAAATTATATATTTGAGATGTTATTGATATCAAGTCTATCTGTCATCTGTCGTCAGTCTAATCTTTGCCTTTAATATTGCCTGACCGTCTGTAAGTAAGAAGTTTATAACAGGTAGGTATCTACTATTTATCGTTTACAAAGTTCATAACATTTTTTTATGTCACATACTGTTTCTCATATTATATTAAACACATAAATTGAAATGAGCGATCTGACCCCTGTCGGCGAGAACGGGCTGATTTCCCCAAGTCGACGCCCGCGCCGCCACCGCCACCGCTAATAATTGTAATTCGACACAAAAATATTATTTTACTAACCTGCAGAGCAACAATAGTTGGCTCCCCATTAGCGCTGAAGGCAAAGGGTCCGTAGTGTAAACAGCTCACGTAGTCATATTCTACACCCAGATTGTCCACTAGATCTGGACCGTAAATGTCAAAGTTGTGTCGGGATCCTGAAAATGAATGCAGTTAACTTTAAAATTCAGAACGCCATCAATTATTGCACTTAGAAACTAAACGGGCATCTTCTTAACCGACTTCAAAATCTAATAGAGGAAGTTATATTATGTTCGACGGTGATATGTTTTTTTACGTATGTTCACCGATTTTTCCGCCTATTGTTAACCGATATTTTACATTATCTTTTTATTCGACAGCTTAATGGACCAAAGTCCGTTATATATGTTATCGAAATCGAATCGGTAATTTCCCTTTTATAACAAAACAAAATAAGCTTTTCACCATATATCACCTAAATATTTAGATGATATGTATTGTATTTCATGTATCTCCGTCAAGAAAATTTGCTTATTTATAATTCATTCAAAATCCGAAAGGAGAATTTTTCCATATTAAAGAAGTATGTATATTTTTATAAAAGTAGGAATGTTAATCGATTTCTTCTTGAATTGTTGACCAATTTCTATCACACTAGCTGTTTTCCCGCGACTCGACTGCATAAATTATAGCCTATAACCAACGCGTATTATGTAGCTTCCCATAGATGATGAAAGACTTTTATAAATCGATCCAATAGTTTTGGAGCCTATCGAATGCAAACAAACAAGCAACCAAATAAACAAAATCTTTTCCAAGACTTTCACCAAGTTGAATATTTTTATTTATATTTATACTAAGAAGCGACTTATTCAATTCAAATTCAGTCGGGCGCATATCACTTAAATAATAAATTTACAGAAGACCTCCGCCGGACTTCAATTGCATTTTCTTAAATAAGTCGCCTTTGAGATAAGTATTGTTTATCACTATTTGAAAGTTTAATATTATAATAATACAATTATTCCCCCAACCTTTCTAAAAACGTCACAAATTTTTATTTCTCATTTCAGGGAAAATGCACTGACAAACCCCCTTCTGGAGGTGAGTCATCACATCACATGTAATTCTACTATATATAATTTACGGTCTAGGGAATCTCTCAGAGAAATATTTAAAGAAATAAATCTTTTGACTGTTGCCTCTCATGTTTTCTTGTACGCAAGAAAAAAATACGATTCCTTCGCAAAAAAAGTAGTGTTCATAATCTTAACACAAGAA